GACTGCCAGCACCAAATCTTTGCAGGCCCCATGACCGAGTCTCTTTGAAAGAAATGAAGGCAGATTGGCATGCCTGCCTCGATAATAAAGTTGGGTTTAAGGTATGAGCTTTTTGAAATATGGACAAGTTTTCTTTTTTATCTGCCCCTCCTGTTTTTCTTTCTTTCTTTCTTTCTTACTTTTTTGGGTATTACATAGATGTCATTTTGTAAAATTGCATGAACTATAAAAATCATTGCTTTGAACTACCAAGATGGGATGTGATTAAGATTGATGACAAGTAGTGTAAATTGTTAATAAAGAAATAATGAACTTATCCATGACTTGTTGGGGGGCGGGAATGGGATAGGTTTTGTGCCTACAAACTTATGAGCTTAATAGAAAGTAATCAACTTGATTGTAAAAGATGATTAAAATGATATTAGCGCAACAACTATTTATCTTACTAGTGGAGCAGAAGGGAGAATATTCATAAACTATGCTGGGCACAAGGTGCAAATATCCTAGCCTGAGTATGTTCAGTGATAGTCCTGTGTTTAGAAATGTTGTGGGAAGCAATAGGGTAGCTGTTTTATTTTTATTTTTTTTATTTTTATTCTTTGACTGAATATAAGGTAACGGGGGTTAGTTTCAGAACTTATGACTGGTTGATTGATACATGTTTTCTTTATTTCCTGCATGTAATCCCTAGATTTTTCTATCAATACTGTTACCGAGGTATTGCAATCATAGCATCTTGCCTCTCTGTGTGAGTATGCACCTGCACTGCGCATGTTTTTCTTTTTTTTTCTCTTGGCACATGGTGGCATGGATGTCTGACCCGATAGCTCTTACATACAACACAAGCTACCCAAGCTTATCACTATTGGATAACATCTAGTGGCTTCACTTTGTTACCTTTTGTGTATGCTCCTGCATCTGATTTAATTATTTACTTTTTCTGCATGTGATGAAAAATGAATTATGTCTCTGCATCTCTCACTGTGCACATTAACTCAGCCAAATTTCTTATTTTCTTTGAATGGTGATTTTGCCATGCTGGCATTCATTATATTCTTATTGTGGTTTTGTGGTTTAACTATCAGTATTACTAGTTTCCCAATGTTTGAGCTATGTAGTATTGCACTGTTTGCAGGGTTTTGCTGTACCAAAGGAATCTCAGAATAAGGTTGCAGACTTCACTTTCCACGGGTTATCAGCACAGCTTAGGCACGGGGATGTTGTTATTGCTGCTATCACCAGCTGTACAAATACCTCAAATCCCAGTGTAATGCTTGGGGCAGCACTGGTTGCAAAGAAAGCTTGTGAATTAGGATTGCAGGTTTGTTGTCTCTGAATTTGGTATTGGGTAATTTCAATTATATCAATTTCTACAACATCAGTATGCTTTAACATATTATTTGCAATATCTAGCTAGCAGATTGGCCCCCTTAGATACTGCGAGGTCAACAAGCATTGTTACAACCTCATTTTTTGTGCTTTCATGCATTCATACGCTAACTGCTTAGGTTTTCTTTTGGGGATTATATAATCAAGTAGTTCCATTCATATGTAATAGATTAAAGCTTGGATTAGCACTTCATGTTATTTTTTCCTTTTTTGACCAGTAATTGATTGCAGTGGCTTCTATGATTGTGAAATTTAGGTTAAGCCATGGATTAAGACCAGCCTTGCTCCAGGTTCTGGTGTTGTGACAAAGTATTTGCAAAAGAGGTATTATTTAGAATATAATGTGGGTATATAAATCTGCTGCACTTAAGTCATACAAATTCAGATTCAGATGGCTTGTGTATCTGTGTTCCTACAGTGGCCTGCAGAAGTATTTGAATCAGCTCGGGTTTCATATTGTTGGGTATGGATGTACCACCTGCATAGGTAATTCAGGGGATATTGATGAAGCTGTTGCATCTGCTATTACCGAAAATGGTATGAATTTACTACTTGGTGGTCTTTGTAATCTGCTTGAGGAATCTTTGGGATGCCTAAGGCGTTGAATTTATGTTGTTCCAGATATAGTAGCTGCAGCTGTATTGTCTGGAAATAGGAATTTTGAGGGCCGAGTTCATCCATTAACGAGGGCCAATTATCTTGCTTCCCCTCCTCTTGTTGTTGCCTATGCCCTTGCTGGCACGGTACATGACTTGTCAACTGAGAGCAAGCACTGTAAAACTTGATCTTGTTATCTAATTTGAATGTACTTCTGCAGGTGGACATTGACTTTGATGCCGAACCCATTGGGTTGGGTAATGAGGGAAAGAAGATCTTCTTCAAAGATATTTGGCCTAGCAGTGAAGAAATAGCAGAAGTGAGGGGCACAATGGGTTTAACTATGACTTTACATATAAACAAAATGATTGCGTCCTTATTTATTTGTTTGTTTGGTTTTCAGGTTGTACAATCAAGTGTACTTCCTGATATGTTTAGGGCTACATATGAAGCAATCACCCAAGGAAACGTCATGTGGAATCAGTTATCTGTACCTTCTGGCACTCTCTATGCATGGGACCCTACCTCAACTTATATTCATGAACCTCCTTATTTTAAAGACATGAGCATGTCTCCTCCGGGTCCTCATGGGGTGAAGGATGCTTACTGTTTGCTAAACTGTGGAGACAGCATTACAACTGACCACATCTCCCCGGCTGGCAGCATACACAAGGATAGTCCCGCTGCCAGATACCTCATGGAACGTGGGGTTGATAGACGAGATTTCAACTCCTATGGAAGTCGTCGTGGTAATGATGAGGTGATGGCACGGGGCACTTTTGCTAATATTCGCCTTGTTAACAAACTATTGAACGGAGAAGTTGGACCTAAAACTATTCATATTCCTTCTCGGGAGAAGCTATCCGTTTTTGATGCTGCAATGGTATTACTTCTAAACTAAACACCGTGTCGGTTTACTGACCTCTCTTCTCTAGCTCTAGCAAGACCATCCCCATTTAGAATAATGATTTTATGATATAACTGATTGTCTGGTAGGTGAAATATATTTGGTAGGGAGAGAGTAAGTAAATCATTAGGGTTGATTATTGGATTTATTGAAGGAGTATATCTAGGCTTCACAGAGGATGATAACAAGTGGTAACAACAGTAAAATATAACTGCAAAATGGTTCAAAACGACTTTGACCAGTATCTGTAGTCATATAAGATTATTGTAGTTGATTCAGGAGTTTGACACGGCTTCTTGTTTGTAATGTGATTGACCGATTGTGACTGGTCAGATGGACTCTATTTGCTGAGTTGTCCACACGGAAATCATATTTTACCATCTGTTTAACACAAACATATCGCTGGACTGTTTCAAAAATTTTTCCACTCACAAAATTTAAATAAATTTATTGCTGCTATTTTTGTGATCTTTTCCAAAAAAAAAAAATCAGAAATACAAGAGTGAGGGGCATGAGACAATCGTTTTGGCTGGAACTGAGTACGGAAGTGGAAGTTCTCGTGATTGGGCTGCAAAAGGACCATTGTTACTGGTACATTCTCGATGTGATTCTGCTCTGACCAATGTCTCTCTGTTATTGTTCCCCCCCGATGGTTCAATTCACTATTGTTTTTTCTAGGGTGTGAAAGCTGTCATAGCAAAAAGCTTCGAAAGGATTCACCGAAGTAACTTGGTGGGAATGGGTGTCATTCCGCTATGTTTTAAGGCTGGGGAAGATGCTGAGAGTCTGGGGTTGACTGGTAACGAACGTTACACCATTAATCTTCCCAGCAGAGTGGATGAAATACGACCTGGTCAAGACGTCATAGTCTCAACTGATAATGGGAAGTTATTTACATGTACCCTGAGATTCGATACAGAGGTAATACTGATTTTTTTTTTTTTTCCGGGAGGGTTTCTTTAATTATTCCTCTAATGGCTTAACTCTTGCTCGTTGACATTCCCCGCCTTCATGCTGATGTATAATTGTTGCAGGTTGAACTTGCCTACTTTAATCATGGAGGCATCTTGCAATATGTGATCAGAAACTTGATAAATGCTAAACAATAAATCTGAGAAACCAAGAATGCTGGCCAATTCGCTACGGTCTGGTGCTAGTTTTAACAATGGTCTGAATATCCGGTACATGAAAAGTGCCTGCAGTGTTGCGTTGAAAACCCATGGTGTTGTTTGAAATAAATGAAGGCATTGGATTTCTACGGCGAGGAGTAGTAATGTCTCCATCTTTTTACAGAAATGATATTCATGTTTCTTTCATTTATCTCGAGTGCCTGTATTTAGGAAGAGAACATCTCCCTCTTTTGGATTTTAGTTGATAATGCCAAGTATTCACTTGGCTTGATCGACAAAAATATTATCATTGTCTTTGCCTGACTATGCATAAACCTTGAGCCAATTGTTGAGGAGGGTGTATCATGCTTCATGAATTATTTCATTGTACTGGGAGTTAGTTTCTTTCTTGTTTAATCTTAGAACATGTTATGTGTTTGGCAACCGTTCGTGCACATTAATTCCGGAGTGTAAGCTACTTTGTATCCCACAGAATATTAATGGGATTAGGATAAGAACATGCTAACAACTTTAAATGGTTTTAAAGAATTGGATTAAAATTAGTTAATGCTTTTAAAATTCCAAAATCATTCTCTAGAAATTTATTAATTAAAGGAGGTTATTTAATTAGAAGATTGTTTAGTTAATTAGGAAATATTAAAGCAAAGGGTATCTAGGAAAAAAGTTAATGAAATGAGTAAATGGAGTAGACGTTAAATGTATAATTTTCAGCAAGGATGATTTTTGTGAAAAGCTCATATTGCTTTTTTATTTTTTTATTTTTATTGATTGCTTTTTTTTTTTCTTTTAAAGACAATTCTATTTAAAGCAAGATTAGTTATTAAATGCGGATATCTCTTTTAATAGAAATTTGAATCTTTGTTCATCTCATTATGAAAGACTTGACTTCTTTTTTTTTTTTTAACTTAACCCCGTTGGTGCTTATGTTGCTAATTTCATCTGATGGTTTCATACTTTTTCTTCAGCCTCCCTAACGGTTGAAGTCATAAAGTTGTCGCTTTTATTATGTTTATTAGTTATTACTCATACAAGCAAAAGGGCTAGGGCTAGGGGGAAAATGAGACAAGGAAAGGCAAACTTCGAGAAATTAAAGAATACCGCATCAACCCATCAATGTTTCCTGCAAGACTCGGGGCATAACTTCATAGGCTTCTAGCCCAACTTTCTGGTGATTCAATCGGCACATGCATCACATCCTGAGAAAAGTCAATGAAACATGAGAGGCGAATCTAAACAACTAGTATGTCCATTTGCTGCAAAACATCAGCAGCCATTACTAAGTATTTGTTGCAAGAGGGGTCTTCCAAAGTTAAAATCTCTTGATTGTTCTGAAGCTATTTCTTTCATCATTAAAGGTTGTGATGTCAACTATCCTTTTAGGCACATTGTGGATCAAGCTAGATCGTTCCTCCTTAGGGATGGTCAATTTTATTTTGTCCATGTTACTGGGGACTGTAACAGGGAAGCTGATTTTCTCGCTAGGTATTCTCATACTATGGCAGCGAATTTTTACCTCTTTAATCCTCCTCCTCTTACTGAGTTAGGGGAGGCAGATAATGAAAGAGGATAGGTTAGTTTTCTGTTTCCAATTTTCGTTTGTATTTCGTTTAGTCGTGTTTAATATATTGCAGTATTTTATTCCAAAAAAAAAAAAAAAAAGACTGCAACTACGCTGTAAATACAGTTCTGTAACCCATGCAAAGTAGTAATAAATACTATCAGTTCCAATTCAAGCAATGTCAATCCTCAATTAGCATTGAACATTTTGCCCAACAATTTGACCTAACTCTTAACACAAAATCTGGGGTCTATCCACCCTAAGGCTCACTACTGCCAATTCCAGCACTTTATATACATGATAGAGCTATAGAAATTATAATAATTCCCTATCACAAGAAAATTTGCACTGAATGTAGCATACATTTTTTTAATTATACAAAACTGTTGCTAACAATCTAGCACCAAAGTCAAAAGTCAAATATAACATGTTATCAGATGAATACCGTGCCTACACTGTAAAATTACATTTTTCATCAGTTTTACAAGGAAGATGCCAAAATTACCTATAGGAATGTGCATTCAAATTTTGTATTCATTGACGCGCATCCACTTGGTACATGACCATTTATTTCCCTTAATCACTGGACAACCACCTGAAAAGCATCAATGCAACAAAGCATGTTAAATTATTCATGTATACAAGTAAATGTTCAAACACATCTAGCAGCTCAAGAAAAAAAAAAAGGGTCGCTAACCATGCAAACTAGAGGGATCTAAAGTTGCATCAGGCTTCATGCTCCAGAAAAGTAGAGCGTCACCCATCTTTGGCTTAATTGAAAGTCCTTTTTTTCCACATTCAGAAAGATCATTCCACCATGGCACAGAGCTAAAGTTGCTCTTGGCAGCTGGGAACACTGTCTCGCCCCCTTCTTCAACATCTGTGCTGTATCATTAACAAACAAAAAGGGCATAGAATGAACACCATTCCTCCCAGGAAGGATGAAATAACATTAAGAACACTTAAGGGGAGGAAAATTCATGCCACTTACAGATACATGAGTACTGTAGCTATACGCTGACCACCATTCTTAGTGTTAAACTCGTCAAGAAAGTAGTCATAGTGAGGCTCATATTTTTGTCCAACTTCATAGTGGAGAACTTGAAATCCTTCACCATGCTCTGTATATTGTGAGACATCGCTTAGATAATAGTTGTGAAGTATACGATGCAATATAATATTACTAGCTAAGAATCAAGGCGATTAAGAACATATCAATTTTAATATATCTGAAGAAAAAAAGTTGATAAAAAAACTTCAACTAGACTGAACTGGCTTCTTAGAAATGAAGTGAAGCCATATCTAATGATAACACCAGTAGCTGGCAGTTCTTTCCACAAAAGAAAATTAGTAAGTAAAGGTGGAAGAATGACTCCGTCTCTGAGTAATTCAAGCAAATCTAGAGAAACTAAGAGGAGGGCTAGCTTTAGAGATATCTAAGTAATATTATAATATTATAATGTTAAAAAAAATATCCAAATAATATGGGTTTCAATTTTTTGCTCCAAAAAAGAATTTCTCTGTAATAGTTCTTTTCATTTTTTGTACACAAAACACATGAGCACCAGTGTAGTCAAAGGCGCTAACCTCAGTGCCTACTGAATCTACCATTGAATGCTAACACCCATCTCACACAAGAAGAGGTGCTACCAGGCAAGTGCCTCTAGCGCTTTCCAGTGCTTATGTGCCACCTTGTTTTTGGAAGTAAAAACAGTGGAAAGCTAATACGCCTAGCCCAGAAATATAAAATAGAAACAAGATAGAACCTGATTCAGATGATGATATATGGATCAAAATCTGATGGTTCAGATGACAGAATTGAAGGACATTACGGCTTTTTATTATTTTTTTAATTTCTTCTAAGATTTTTTGGAATTTTGTAGTGCACTTTATCTTTCGTTATTTGTTAATGGCTTTGCTACCATAGCTACTACACTTTTTAAGTCGTAAGGTTAACTAGCTAGCTTTCAGTTTGACATGAAGCTTAAATAATGACTTTCTAAGTGCACCAATTATTACTATGAGCCATGACTTCATGATTATTAGAACAATAAAAATTACATATAATTGTCAACTAGATAAAATTTTAAGGTTAGGTGCACTAGATTAGTTAGCATCAACAAGGAGTACCATATCTTACCCACCAATGAAACATGAAAATGGAGAGGCTCAGACCACTTACCTACAGGTATAAAAGTAAAATCAGCAATCCTTTTCTCAATGTTCCTCACAATCTTATCACGTCCTCTGGGTAGAAAAGTTCCAGAACTTGTACGTACTCTGAATATTAAAGAGGATGTAACATTGAGGTTTTCCATCCAAAAAGGGGCAAGGCCACAAGGGCAGTCAATAATGCAAAGGACGTTCATTTCCAATATTCAACTTCCATACCAATATATATATATATATATAGAAAAATCTGACCTGCTATCTTTACTCTTTCCAGTTTCACTATCAACAACTGTTGACTTCTGCATATGAGGCTTGGCCAGATTAATTAGGTATTCACACTCCTCCTTTGTCTGCTCATATTAAGAAACTCAAATTTTAGTATTTAGATAGTGAAAACTTTGAAATCTGGTCAATAGATAAAGAAAACCAACTTAAGTCAGATTCTAACTTCATAAGCACATTATTTGTATGCTCTGTTGAGCATTGTTTGGCAAGCAAAATACTGAAAAAATTTGGCGATAACATAATCCTAATAACAAAGATGGTGGAAGACATAGATTTTCATCAATAATACCTACAGAAAATCAGAAGACTCTTGCTTCAAAATCAGGATGAAAACTAGGTTGCTAAATTATTTAAATACATCCCCATGCATATTTCCATTCACCCAATCCTAATTGCACTTAGTTCTTATAAAAACAGTGCGGTGACATTATCCGACGCACTCTTCCCATAGCTTTAAGCATGTTATATGGCAAAGCAGTGTTCCAATTAAGCACGTGCTTTCATCCATCTTTTTCAATCTTTTACTTCTTTCTCATAGAGTAACTGTATGTAATTTAAACAGTTCATACATCTTTGACCAATTTCATCCAATTTGAAGAAGTTCTATAAACCTGGATATAGAATCAATACTGATTAATATCCATGGACCCTATAAAACTGGATTCCAGGTGGCACGAGCATAAGCTTGTTATTTTTTGTGTAATTTCTCAATTTGCAATCGATTTGAGAATCCGGATTCTCATGCTCCATGGATCTTTCAATGTAGATAGAGACTGAAGAATGGGAGTATTAGACTTAAACGCGTTTCTTTATTGTACTATCAAGTTCCTCGATTACAATATGGCGGATGAATACTTTTTAAGTTAAAATATAATGAAGTGTAAAATTTTATTGGGACCATTCAACTACCAGCAAATGACATATTATACTGTCATCCTTTAAGAGGTAACTTGTTAACTGCTTATTTCAACGCAGAACCCATCCAAATGTGAAAGCAATTACACAAATATAAAGATCTAGGATGAAAGATTAGAAGAGCATATCTACAAAACTCACCAGAAAATTATGATAAACAAAAGCTCTAGGCTCCCATGATACTAGTTCAACCCATTGCTCACTACTCTCTTCGGCCTCGCTTCCGTTCAGAGGAGGATCAAAAGTAGAAAAATTACCAAAACGAAAGAAAAAATCAAACAAATATTTAAAACAAAAAAGACATGAAAGTGACTTACTTATCAAGCGTGCTCCGAACAATGGAGTTAAGATCGTTGGCCACGTGTGCATCACGACGGGAGCTGCTGGGAAGGGAGAGGATCCCAAGGGAGACAAGAAGGATGAGTAGGAAGGCGAACAAAAAAGTGAAGGAGAGGATGAGCGTGGAAGAAGAGGATTTGCGTGGAGGTAGGCGAGAGTGCTTGGGTTTTGCCATTGCGAAGCTGGAAGGATCGAATTCAGAATCTGATCTGAGGAAACAGAACAGTGCACCAAGAGGAGTGAGAAGTTGGGATTGCAGGGCAAGATCTAAATGAAGGCCGGGAAAATAAACGACTGAGTCAGGGAAGACATTCGTTTCATACAGGTACGACTAGGCGCGTTTTCTTTTCGCCCAGAATTCTTCAACCCAACTCTCAAGCGCGCTTGGATTTTGATCCAGTAAATGTACATAAATATGCATGAATCTACCCATTCAATCAGAATTATATACCATTATAATATAACAACTTTTTGATTTAATCGAACTCGAGAGATTTGCCAAAAACTTTGTTACTTTTTTCTGACCACGGTATAAAACTCTTCTTAAAGTATTCAAAATATATAATATTAAATAATTTTTATAATTATTTTTTAACTATATCTCTATTCTATTTATTTTTTTTATAAAAAATAATGTATTAAAATTTTAAAAGTTAATGAACAAAATAAACTTTAAATTCTTACTCAACAAGCACCGTGAATCATAAATTCTTAAAATATGTAAAATAAATTTTAAACTTTTGAATTTGTAGTAAATTAAATTTACTGTTATTTTTTTAATGTCATTACTATTCACTGTTATTATTTACAAAATCTTGAACTATTATATTAGTAGCGTCTTAAATTTTGAATTTTAAAATTTTGAACAAATCATCCCACCATTTATGTATAATATGTTGGCTATTATATAGATCAAATTAGTCTCAATGTAGTTCGTTGCAGTGAATGCATCTTTAGTCGTGGCAAATAACCCATAATTTTATGTAATGACATTTTTTATCCTTTTTTTGCAATGTTTTTCACATGATTAATATCACATACTTCCATATACTCTACAACACCAATTTATTTTTATTTTAAATAATATATTTTTATTTAATAGTGAAAATTTGGGATCTCATTAGAAAAGAAGTTTAAATATCAGATAATTTTAATTAACTAGTTACTTTGAGTTTTCAATTTGTTGATAAAATCATCAACTTTTGCATCCATCATCTGTAAAATCCTATAATATTTAAGCTTTTTTTAAATGGGATCCCAAGTTTTCACAACTAAATAAATAAACATTATTTAAAAATAAACTAAATCAGAGTTATATAGTACATGAAAGTATGAAATATCAATCATTTAGAAAACATTACAAAAAAAGGAAAAAAATATCATTTTATAAAATTATGAGTCGTTCGTCACGGCCAACGATGCATTTAACACAGCGAACTATGCTGAGACTAATTTGGTTTATATAACATTTAACGTTTTATATGTAAACAATAGGGATAATTTACTTAAAATTTTAAAAATCAAAATTCAAAATGCTACTCACGTAATAGTTTAGAGTTTGTGGCGCTAATTAATTGAGGCCCGTGATAAACAATAATGATGTTAAAAAAAGATAACGGTAGATTTTAATTTGTTACAAATTTAAAAAATTAGGATTTATTTTTTACATTTTAAAAGTTCAGAATTCAAGACACTTTTTAAGCAAAAGTTTAGGATCTATTTTTCTCATTAACCTAAATTTTAATTGTCATTATCAAGACACTTATATAGGATATTTAATAAAGATATACTTAAAAAGATATATTTTTAAAAAAAATTAAAATTTCAACTAATATTTTTTTAGAACTGTGAATTAATTGGTAATACCTTATATACTCCGGAGGAAGTATATAATAGGAAAAATCATTCTAAGGTCCCGTGGAAGCAATTAAAATATACTAAAGTCTCATGAATTCATCAAATAGCTATCAGATCTCAAGGGACTTAAGGGTGAATAAATATGAAAATAAAATTACTAATTTGTCCTCTACCATTAAAAAGGAAATCTTGCTTGAACACAGATCTCACGAAACCCATGATCAGCGAGACTGAAGATTGATGCATATTCATGATTTGTTGATCACGGTAGGATAATTTTCACTTCCCCATATCTATGATTACTGTCGTTATCTTCATCTAAGCGAGGTGGGGGTGTTCATCCGCGACTGCAGTATTTCATCGCACGACAGAAAACAACACAGTGATTGTTGAGCGAGTAAACGATTTCTCATGCGTTAATGATTTCATTATTGTTTAAGGGTAGGATAATGCTTTCTGGGTATGCTTACGATCATTTGATTTGCATAGCTAATGAGTATGAATTCATCTGGTATGACATTGATACGTTGAAAAATATCTGATATGAACAACTCTACATGTTGTTAATAGTGCATTCTTGTGTTGTCAATATGCTATCGATAGTTGTCGATGCGCTGTATTGTGCATGATAACTTGTAAGAATGCTTATACCACTAAAAAAACATGTATTATGTTATGTTTTTTTATATAGGGGACATTTTATATATTATTCTTAAGCATATGATGCAAGCTTCTTTTGTTAAAAAATCTCTATTATGAAATAACATTGCTTCTTGTCAATAATGGATAAATGCGTTGATATTTTGTTGTATATAGTTGTCAATATACTGTGTGTGATGTTGGTTGACCTGTAAGATGGTAAGTTCTTCTGAAGAACATATATTATATTTTTTTCCATATAGGGAACATTTTTAAAATTATGACTAAGGAAGTATGCAATATGTTGGGGGGAGTGTTAGAACAAGAACAATAAAGGAACAGACAACGTATGAAGAGTTGACAAAAATGATATCATCAAATGAGTAGCACATACATGCTCTTGTTTAGCTAGGCAAATGAGTGAAATATCTTGTGTGCATGCATGTGCAGCAATCAAGCTAGTTTATGGCAATGTGTATAATTTTGTGGATGAATGTTACAAGTTTACCACTCAACAGAAGATATATGCCAACAACATGAGGCCAGTAGTCATACATGACTATCCATGTCCATAAGCATTGACGGTGACAAATTTATTAACCCAAACCTGATTGAAGCTACCAATGACTATAAGGCCTTCGGGTAGGCCAAAGCATAAAAGAAGGGAATCTTAAATCCAAAACAAAAAGGTTTATCATTATACAAGATGCCATAAGACTGGTCATACCTCCAAGACTTGCAAAAATCTTAATCTATGCTAGAAAATATCAGAGACAAGTGTACTTTTTTGTTTATGTATTTGGAATTTATTTTTTTGTTTATTACACCTAATGTATCAGCACTTGTCAACGAATAATGCATAGCTTGGCAATGAAGTGATAACTTGTAATCAATGACCAATGGCAAGTAGTCAGTCAGTTCTTGTAACTGGTTAATTTTTAAAGGGAATTATTGCACTTAATGTATCAGCACTTGTCAATAAAAAATGCAGAGCTTGTCAATATAATGTTAACTTGTAGTCAATGACCAACGGCAAGTAGTCAACAGGTTCTTGTAACTAGTTAATTTTTAAAGGGAATAACGGCACTTAATGTATTAACACTTGTCAATGACGAATGCATAGTTTGTCAATATAGTGATAACTTACAGTCAATAGCCAATAGCAAGTGGTCAACAGGTTCTTATAACTAGTTAATTTTTTTAAAAACTAATAGTACTTAATGTATCAGCACCTGTCAATGGTGAATGCATAGTTTGTCAATATAGTGATAACTACTTCTCAATTGCCAACAGCAAATAATCAACTTGTAACTTGTTGATTTTTAAAGGGATTAACAGTACTTAAAGTATTAGCACTTGTCAATGGTGAATGCATAGTTTGTCAATATAGTGATAACCACTTGTCAATTGCCAACGGCAAGTAATCAACAGGTTCTTGTAGTTTGTTGATTTTTAAAGGGAATAACAACACCTAATGTATCAGCACTAGTCAATAGCGAATGCATAGTTTATTAATAAAGTGAAAACCACTTGTCAATCACAGTTGGCCACTTGTCAACATTTAATTAATAAAACAAACTATTTGTCACATTTACAAATTTGTAATCACCATTCATAATAACATTGTTTAAGTTAACTACACGAAATAGGCTAACTATATAAAAGGACATGATTATCAATAAAGTTATATCCTAAAGTTCTATCAATAATATTCTATTTCCTCTTCTTCCTTTCCTAGGATCTTTGTAATAAGGGCATGGCTTTGTGCTCCTTCACGTTGTTACAATGACTCAATAGCCACCACAAGAATTCTATCTTCTTCTTATAAAGGTCATCCTGCACCACAAGTCATTCTTATGAGGTATAACAGAGATTTTACAACAAAAGAAGCTTGCATCACATGCTTGAGAATAATATATAAAATGTCCCCTATATGAAAAAAAAATTATAACATAATACATGTTTTTCGGTGGTACAAGCATTCTTACAAGTCATCCTGCACAATACAGTGCATCGACAACTATCGATAGCATATTGACAACACAAGAATGCACTATTGACAACATGTATAGTTGTTCGTATCAGATATTTTTTAATGTATCAATGTCGCACCAATTACCCATTAGCTATGCAAATCAAATGATCGTAAGCATACCCAGAAAGCATTATCCTACCCTTAAACAATAATGAAATCATTAACGCATGAGAAATCATTTACTCGCTCAACCATCACTGTGTTGTTTTTTGTCGTGCGATGAAATAATACAATTGCGGATGAACACCCCCACCTCGCTTAGATGAAGATAACGACAGTAATCATAGATATGGGGAAGTGAAAATTATCCTACCGTGATCAATAATCATGAATATGCATCAATCTTCAATCTCGCCGATCATGAGTTTCGTGATATCTGTGTTCAAGCAAGATTTCCTTTTTAATGGTAGAGGACAAATTAACAATTTTATTTTCAGACTTATTCACCCCTAAGTCCCTTGAGATCTGGTAGCTATTTGATGAATTCATAGGACTTTAGTGTATTTTGATTGCTTCTACGGGACTTTAGAATGATTTTCCCTATATAATAACCATTTGCCACTATTCAAGGAAAAATTTTAGTGAGAACTCCTTGAACAGATTTAATTTCAATCAAAGCACTTGAAATTTTGAAATTTACTGCATACGTGAGGAATTAAAGTGAAATTAAAGAGCTTACTGAAATGATTTTATTATCTCTAATAAAGCTAGGTGCATAAACAACTTATATATAAAAATTAACAACTAATGTATAGAAAATGAACAACCTATATAGGTAAAATTTGTAACCCTCATTAACAGCAAGTAAAACTAGGGACATGAACAAATCATATAGGAAAAATAAACAATTAATTATGAAAAATGATTAACCGACATGAGTGGAATAAGAGTTACAAATTTATAATGGTATCATGGAATTGATAAGAGGTGCAAATTTCACTTATATTAGTTATTTATTTTTCATATATTAATTATTAATTTTTTCATATGAGTTGTTCATGCATCCAATTTCATCAGGAACAATAATTAAGAGTAGTCAACTTTTTAATTTCATTTTAATCTCTCACATGTCTACTAAAATTTCAGAATTTTAAGATTTTTGATTGAAATTAAGACGAAATTTTCTCCCTATACGATTTCATTCGTTTCGTTCATTTAATAAAAAAAGTTCATCAAAAAATTACGTATTTACTTTTTTTTTAATTTAAAATTTTAATATAAACAATTCAATTTCATGATGACCATTGAGAATTTCGCGGGAGACTTTTTTACTCTGAACTTATTTATGATATTCATAATTATTTCATTGTTCAAATCATTAAAAAAACTTTTCCTTTGGTTTATTTGCTGTAGCAATAGCAAAACTTATTGTCTTTTCTTACCAAAAAGAAAAATAATAAAACAATATAACTTTAAATCCTTTACTTTGCACGTATTTTGTTATTAATTTCTGTATTTTTTTTAATATTTTTAATTTTTATACTTTTATTTTTTATTATTTTAGATTCTCCATGAATAAAATATAAGGATATAAAATAATAGCAAACAAAAATATAGAGACCAAAAATATTTTAAAAAAATGCAAAAATTAATAATAAAATTCAAGCAAAATACATAGACTTAAAGTTATATTTTCTGAAAATATTGTCTTTCCTTTTTATACAAAGAGGGTTTGAATTGCCTTTATCTCCTAAGTAGCTTTTAGGCAACAAAAATTTATTATATTTTTTATCAGACAGTAATATCTGTCTATTATCTATTCGACACATTGTCACAGTAAAATGGGGGGAAATTTTTCATATCGATGTAAATTTTGATATATTTTCACCCCCAACATGATTTTAAATGAGTCACTTTTTTTGGTCAAAGAGTTGCAGTGTTCATGACTGGGAATAATACCTGTTGTTACAAACTCTGCATTTTATATTAAAATTGATACGATTTGGTAGAAATTAAATAATGAAAAAGATTTTAAATGAAAAGGAAATATTACCCTTAATAAGTTTGTAGACTGTAGTATAAACAACTTAATTTAGTATCTTCATAAGGCTTCTATTTTTCTATAAGAAAAAAATTGGTTCTCAAATTAGTTTTAATGCTACTATATATTGGTCTTTATCTGTATAAATTATCTTATATTAAGTTTATCGTTGGACTTAACAAGACATCATGACTTTTGCAGCTTTTGCAAAAAAACACGTGTCTTCATGAAACAGTATAGTGTAGTAGTTTTTATTACTTAATTTATAGTTGTCATTTTTCATTTAAAAAAAACTTAATTTGTAAAAATTCATGTAGTTAAATTAATATTGGAAATTTTCAAAAAATTAACTGGAACATATTGGTGTCCTGGTTATACAACCATCTCATTTTCGTCTAGAGATTTGATACATGAGGTAGAATTCACGGGACTACTGGTACTGGATGACTGGGGGGGAAAGATATTTTATAAACACCTTCTTCTTCTTCCTCCTTTTTTTCTGGCCAGATACACGTTCTTTTTATATCTTCTTCTAATTGATTTATAAATGATGTTATCAATCAATACGTCAAGTAATATATCATTGAAAATTTACGATAAGTGAAATTTTTGACAACATATTTTGTCCTCTAGACTTAATCTAACCCATAGGAAAAATGTTTTTTGACAATATATTTTGTCCTCTAGACTTAATCTAACCCATAGGAAAAATGTTTAGTTTCAGAAAATAAACAATTGTTATAGCAAATAAAACGGCACTTGAAGAGTGCTTTCAAGCCATAATTTATTGGCCTGTTGTTAATTCTCCACCATTTTTTGGGGTTGGGGTTGGGGGGGGGGGGAGTATAGTTTTACCAACCTTGATGAACTAAGCCGGCAGAGCAGGTTTTATTTTTTATTCGACAAGTATCCCGTAACTTCACCACCGACATCATGTTGCTTCCTTATCGACCTTATGATTATAAAAGGACCAGTGGGAGTATGTGTCAACCTTCTCCTAATCAAAAGAAAAATGACCGCGATTCCATGAATCTGCACGCATGTTGCATACTAATAAACTACTTATTTTTTAAATAGGGAATTATATGATTTGTACTTGCCTACGTGTCTAAAGATGAACATGATCAAGGAATCTCCCCTAAAATTCAAATATAATGTGAAAGACATCGTTGATTAAGTATTATAAATTAGAAATATATATAGATATATGTACCTTTTAAATCTCAGCGATAACTATGCGTTTGATCTTATCGACTAATATTCAAAAGCAATAAATAGCGGACTTCAAAATGTTTGAGTTTCCGTCCCCATCTGATCACATTTGCTCTAGACAAGAGCTTCAATGCTCTCACGGCAGGACCACAGGGACAAGGGAGAGAAAATAAGACCAAAAGTAAAGGTGAACAAACCAATTTGACGTTTCAACACACTGGTGGGGTCTATTACAATTCACAAATCAGCAGATAAATAGAACAGAACACGCAACTTGGAGCGAGAAATAGAACAGGGGAAGTAGCATCCCTCACATTTAAAAGACACCAATGGAGGTGGAACACAAGGGCCTGTGCTTGTAAGACAGACAGTTGGGAATGTAAGTAGAGCCTCGCTTCTTTGGAGGTTCCGTGGAATCTATGGCTGGTTGGTTCAAATACGCGTACTTGCTTTTTGTCCACCTGCACATCTCAAGGTATGCCCTGCTAGGTTAGCATTTTCCCCCTAAAATGTAGATTGATATAGGATGAAGAAGCATCATGTCTACACTTTCACGCTTTTCATTCATTAGCTAAGATCCAATCATATGCACACAGAAGCTGGGGAATCTAAAGAAAAAACAATTCGTTTTGGGGTTCTCTCAACGTTGAAACTCAAGCTAGATTCTAGTTAGGAAAGCGGAGGAGGTCTTATTCTTGGCTCACACATGATAATGGATATTGTTTTAATAACAGCTATCCACTGAATAGTCATGAAAGAATGGGCTTTACTGACCAGTCCTTTATTCCCACGCGCACTTCCTTGCCTTTGGCATCATTTTTGCTTTTACGAGCATCGTCTTCGCCTCTCTCCTTCTCCAAGGACTCTTGGAAGATCATGTAGTCTTGCTCCTGTTTTCCAGTTTTCATTGAACAGATTTAATCCCCACGGAGGAAGAATCATGAATAGACTAAAAAGATCAGTTGAACTTAAACATCATGAAAATTAGGACATACTGAATCGTGGAATGAATGATAAAGAAGAAAAATAAAAAGATGGAGAGTAACGGAACCGTCAGATTGCGTGCTCGGAGTTTGGCTGCCGCTTTAATAGCAGCGAGGAGGTGGTCGTGTTCTTCAATCCGCTTCTGCCTCCAGAACCTGGCAATCTCTCTCCTTGTGACGCTCTCTTCTGCTCCGTGCCTTGAAAACGCTGGGAATCTCGGAAGTGGCGGCGGCGGAGGTGGTGGTCTGGCAACAACCACCACCTCCTCCGTCTTTGATTCACCGCAATCGATTTCTTGCTTTCTTTGCTTCATTTTCTAACGCCACCTAGGCTCGTTATACCCTTTGTTGCAACTTTATATCAAGAAAAGATGGGCTGTACCTGTATGAGAGTTAATTGCATCAGAGATCAGAGACCACTCGCACCTGAGCTACCCATCCAACCTACCTTTGCTTCTCTTCTTCCCCTATCGGCCTATCTTATACCCAACGTTAGTCGTTAGACTTCACAATTGGAGTCTCTAGGTCAACTGAAGTACTGTGGCGCTTGAAGGGCGAGAACAACCCCCGGAGAAATGATTAAAGAAAACTGACTTACTGTTGTTGCTTATTCTAAGACTGGCCCCTGATGGTGGATGAATGAACTGGAATGGCTTTGAAGGGTTTCATGTCTCCCTTTTAATTGTGGACCTTAAATGACAAGCAACTTGTGATTAGGATAATCTTCATGTACCACGATACAATAGTAATATAAGTAATCTTATGCGTCGTTCCTGGCCCAACCTTCACTTTTTTTAATGGGTGAGTTATGCATGGGTTTGTTGATATAGAAAAAGTCATATTGTTCCAACAACCAGACGAGCTCCTCCTAGCCCTTCCCGGAGGAAAAAATAGAGCCGCCAAATATTTAACAGATGATTACGTCGCCTTTTCGATTCATCGGAGAAGATTAGGTAGGTGTCTATATATTCTAAGAGGAATAGATTATATGAACGTCATACTCCAATATGTATCAGCTAGCCAATTTGTTGATAAAAAAACAAAATAAAGAAAACAAAGACAACAAATTCAGGATTAATCAGCAAGTCCAAACAGAGAAATGCTCACCATCAGTAATTCGGGATAAACATGATTCCTCTGAAATTTCCCGAGTATCATTTCGGAGTAAGAGTTTAAGCGCTTACTAATTTTTCAAAGAAAGTGGGCCAGCCTTCATTCGTCACTTGCAGGATAAGCGTAAATCTAAATACATTTGGGTGATGATTGCCTAGGCACCGATGCCTCTATAAACTGAGCTTCTGGGAATTGTCCAAGGGCCCAAATCCTGCTGGGATGTGGGATTCAGAAAAGTTCAAGCAGGTGGTGACTCTGCAGAAACTCTCAACTTGCTTACCAGAGAGGACCACACAAATCACCTTTTGCTGATCTGATCTATGAAGCTCGCAACCTTATCTTCAGAGATTGGCTTGTTCAGATTAATTTCATGAATAGAGAAAAGTTAATGAATGTGCTAATTTTTTTAGACCACAGGGTTCTTACTGTGACTGATTTCTTTTGTACTGGTATATATAGTCAGACACCCTCTTTTTGTTCAAGAGTGGTGGATTTACATAAATCTAGCTGATCGTTTGTAACTGTAGTTTTAATCATTAATAATAATGATATTTTCCTCCATTTGACAAAAAAAAAAAAAAGGTTTTTGAGGGAGGGTGAAAACTATATGCCCTGTGAAGAACTTAAATCTGCAGAATCATAATAGTGACTCTTAAATTTCCTTTTGGTTGATTCTGGGTCATGTGCTTTTAGGTTCCTCCTAAGCTCATTCCTCCTGCGTATTCCAAAACCAAAAAAGCATGGTGAGTCTGGTAATGTGGGCATAAAGCGACACGGACTTGGACAACACCTTGCACTCACACAAATTTCCAGCGGCCTGTACTTCGGATACAAATCTTCTCTGTTAGTTTTCCAACGCGGGTTCCATACTCCATCTGAAATGGTGAATCATAATATTCATGACTTAATAATATGATTTATATAAATTATAAATTCTTCTAATAAGGGAAACCAGCTTATTATGGTTAGTTATGTAGGAAGCATTACTGGTAGAAATTTAACCTTCGGAACATGAAATGAAGGGCTGAATCTTGAATTTGCATACAGAAAGCTCTCTTAGAATAATATGTATGAATTTGCAGCAAGTTCGAAAAGAAAAACAGTTGAACTCGGTAATATGCACCTTACATTAACTATCAGAAAACCATATAGCCAGAAATAAGTGAATACCTACGTTCTTTGTTGTAGTGTAAACTTCTGGTTGTCTAACTCACATTAAAAATTTAAAAATCAGTTCTGTTTAAAGCTGTGGTTCCAAATTTCCAAGAGAATGCTGTCATCCCCATCCCAGTTCTTCCTTTCAACCAACAGCCCCCCGGGGGGGGGGGAGCTTTTTCCCCTTCCTGTGTGTGTTCCCCGGCATAAGGTTGCAATTGACCGTCAAAGGGAAGCAAAATAGTCAAGGATGAAACGGTGACCATATCAAGATAAAGATGAGCTCCCCAACCTTCTCTGCTACAGTTCTTGAAGTTTCTAGGTAAACTTGGAATCCGTTGCTAATGCATTTAACTGGTTCAGAGTTCAGAACAAACTACGCAAGCATATATGGAAGTTCTGGTAATTAAGCCAGGAATCACACAGAGGACAAACAGGACACTACAGTTTGAAATGACGAGCAAATCCTCAGCGTAGAAATCACGAAATTTACAAGACTAATTTATACATATCAACTAAAATATAAGAAGCGTGAGATATCAGTAAGAATTAAGAACAAATTTATTCGGAGGAAAACAGCAAAACATGACCCATTTGATTCGAGATGTATGAGCTACTGAAAATTTGTACAAGTATAATACAAAACTCTTTCACGAGTATAGGCTGATAGAAATTCAAATCATATTGTTCATAACGGATATCCAAAATCAGGAAACCCGGCTCCGTTTCAAGTTTGAGATGTGATTCGAAGGGCTTTGGTCTTGAAACGATATCTGGGGGCTCTGGGAATCACCTGGCTCGGTCCCATGTGAAATTGACCAGGACTATCAGTAAGAGGAGGGCCGTCATCATAGACATAGCCAACTAAACAGCCACAGCTATTGCACTTGATCTTGGTTCTCTTCCTCTGGATTCCCCAGTAATTAATGGTCTCAAAGAAGGGTCTGATCTTGTCCTCCTTCTCGAATCTGAACTTGGTGGTGTCGACCATGGAGAAGGAGGTCGTGCCATTGTTTCCGGCCTCAAAGTAGAAATCGGGTGGAAATAGATGAGCAGAGTTGAGGTTCAGGTTGGATCCGCATTCCGTACAGCTATAGATGGAAGCCATAGTCGAGATTTCTGAATGGAACAACAGAAGAGAAGAGAAGAGAATAGAAGGGCTTTCGCATAAATCCAGTCGTCCTAGCCCAATCTTTCTTTCTTTCTTTCTCTTTTTTAAAAGGTCTCGTCGCTTTATCAAAAAAAAAAAAAAAACAAGGTCTCGTCGTCCTAAGCTAGACTTCTCAAAACCGCGTCGTTGCGGACTTTTGTTAAGCTTTCGCCGCGGGACCCTCCTCAGCGCGCGACGGCAGATATTGATATTGTCAGAGATGTTACCGGAAATCATCAATATATATATATACAAATCTTATTAAAAATTATTGATTGGTTGGAATTTCTTTAATGTTATTGATTAATTAATTTTAGTTAAATTTTAATTTTTTTATTCATTAATTTATTTTATTTGTCATGTATTTCATTATTAAATTTTAAATATAAAATTTAAATTTTATGAGAATAGTAACTCCATTCATTTCAACTTTTTTATTTATCTCGAGTCTCTCAATTTTTTCACTCTCTATCTTTAAGAATTTGTGTATTTTATTATTAATTTTAAATATAAAATTTAAATTTTACGGGAGCAGTAATTCCATCCATTTAAGCTTTTTCATTTATCTCATGTATCTCAATATTTTTCAGTCTCTATCTTTAAGAATTCATGTATCTCATTATTAAATTTTAATTATAAAATTCAAGTTTTACAGAAGTAGTAACTCCATCCCTCTCAACTTTTTTATTTATCTCACATCTCTCAATATTCTCTCGTCTCTATTTTTAAGAATTCACATATTTTACTATTAAATTTTAAATATAAAATTCAAGTTTTACAGGAGTTGTAACTCCATCCGTCTCAACTTTTTCATTTATCTCGCATCTCTCAATATTCTCTAATCTCTATCTTTAAGAATTTATGTATCTCATTATTAAATTTTAAATATAAAATTTAAGTTTTATGGGAGTAGTAACTCTATCTATCTTAACTTTTTCATGGAATGTCAGCGGCATATGCTTGAGTATTTGATGAAGTTTGTTGTACCTCTTGGTGAGCATCTTTGTTGTCACTTGTACTAGATGATAGAAAATTATCTCGTATACCACTACCAAAAAATGAAAAAAAATGTATCAATTTGTAAAACCTTTTCATATTGTTGATGAGTATTTATCTATATTACTTAACTATATCTACATAATATATTACTTACAATTTTCTTATACCAAACCTTAGCAATTTATAAAGATCAATTCTCTCACTTTTAAGTTATTAGAATATAATTATATAATTTCAATGAAAAAACATTTGTGTTATAATTTTTTTGACAACCTGCTATAAACATAAAATCAAAATAAAAAATATAATTATATTTTATATATTTCAAATACAAAAAATATATAATTCAAATTTTTTACATCATTTAAAAAAGATAAACGGATGCCTATCCAGAAGTTTTCGTACCATAATCATATATGATAGAATCATTAAAAATTTAATCTTTTCAAATTATACTCGTAATTTATGATAGACTTGAGAAACAAAGACAAAATGTATATGAATAAAATATTCAAAAAAAATGATTAAATAAAGGAATTTTTAAAAATTTAACAAGATTAAATATGTCAATATAAATAGTATTTAAGATATTTGTTTTAAATTTTTTAAATTCAACCTGCTCAATGCACGAAAAATTATCTAGTTATAACCAATTCTGCAATCAAATTATAGCCCCCAAATATTTCTTAATTTTTTTTTCAACTAACCTTCTCCACACATTGGTTAAAAAAAAAAAAAAATCTTTTCCACTCCCACATCATGTGACACATGGAACTTTGCATATCAAGGCATGAAAAATGGACTTGACGATGTCTCGACTCTTAAAAGCTTAAATTCATAAAATTTGATTACTCTCAAAATTTATCATTTTTAAAAATTTGACTTCATGTAAATCCGTTTTTATTATTTTATTTTTCTAAATTTTTTAAAAAATTAAGATTTTTAATTATCATATTTCAAAATTTTTTGAAATGCAAGTTACAATATTTAAAAATTAAAAATAAATACTAAAAATTCTTATATTAAAGACAATCATATATTCCAAAATTTAAATTTAATTTAAAAATTAAAAATTATTTTATTTTTTAGATGTAAAAATAAAGGGTCTAAAAGGTCCCCCCAGTCTGTTTTTCAAGCTTATCAAAAATGAGCTTTAAAGCTTAATTTCCATAACAAATGCCAATTTTAAGCTTAAATTTTTATAAAAAGAATTTAAATGATTCATTCCTCCGGCTTTTATTTACTACTCTAATAATATTTCTACTAAATTACTTGAGAATTTGATCAGGAAATCCTTGCAGCAAGAAATGTGAATTATGTCAATTGAACTACAAGCCCTTGGCAAATATTTCTTAAGCTTAATTTATTAAGAAATTGAGAATTTGCTATAAAAAATCACAATCTTGAAATAATTTTTTAAAGAAACTTGCGTGTAATTGTTACTGGATTGGTCGATGAATCTCATCATATTTTTTGTAATATTGACTCATTCAGTACTATATTTTGGTATCCTAATTGCTTATGTGTAATTTATGCCGTGATGATTGCGTACTGGAAGGCCTATTGGTCGGTTGATCAACTTTGCATTTGTTAAGATCTAATTCAACAACACGCGATCACACACGCGCAATTAAAAAAAAAAACACAGCAAAAAAAAAAAAGTCGAATATTAGTTACAATTTGATAAACTCCTCCTAACTACAATAAAAAACATACCTAATTCAAAATATAAGATATTAAATAATTTTTACATATATTTTCTAAATTATTATTTTTAAAAAATTAAGTATTAAAATTTTAATTATTATTATCAGGATTTTTATATAAAATATTTAAAGAATGTACAAATAAAAATATGAAAATATTTTTTAAAAATTTAAGAATTAGATTATGCAAATACTCTATCATTATATGCTTGCGTGCATCTTCTTTGACGTTAGCTTAACGTGGCATATTCATTCCCCAGCACGTGGCCCAAATTGAGAGAGAGAGAGAGAGAGAGAGAGAGTCAACAGACGGCAACTGAAACGGGAGTAAAATAATTACATGGGATGATTTTTCGCCGGTGAGCAGTGAAACTTATAGGCTGCGGTCACTGATAGCTAGTTTCTATACTTCTTGCCCATTCCAGATTGGTGTGTTTTTGCCTGATACAGCGACAGTTCTAGAACATGACAAATGGGGGGCCAAAGTGAAAAATTTATGAAAGTGGGGGGCCAAAATTGGTATTTTTATTTTTTAAATAAAAATGAACTAAATTCTTACCAAAAATTTGTGAGGGGGGAAGCACCCTGCATGCCCCCTAGATCCGTCGCTGTTTATATATATATATATATATATTAGTTAAAGAAATTTTAAATAGTGATATTATACAATGCTTGATCTAGTATCAGCGAACTCAAAAACGATGACTCTGAATTAACGAGCAATGTATATTAGATCCAAAAAAAAAATAGCAATGTACTCTCATATTTATCATGGGATTTTGAACTTTTGATAATCTAAATGAATCCAACAAATGATCGATATAATGTACTCTTACGATAGTTTTTTTTTGTTTCTTTATCTTTTTTTGGAATTCCTCTCATGCACAAAAGAGCCTCGTATTCAAACTTCAAATCGATTTTGTGTAAAAGTAAGAAAGAAATTGTTAGGATGGAAGGGAAAACTCCTAAACTTTACAAGTAGATAAGTGCTTATCAAGTCTCTTCTCATAACTATGCCAAATTGTCATATGCAAACCATGCTTCTAACTATAAAACTTCTATCAAATATTGAGAAATAGAGTAAATCATTCCTTTAGGATAGCTTCAATGATGAGAGGAAGTTACACTTGGTTTCTTAGGATGCTATCAAGAGTGAAAATGGTGCTGGAGGCTTGGGAGTAAAGGACTTACAAACTCAAAATAAAGACTTCATCCTTAAATTATGTTGGAACTTGGTCACCAACTTTGATTCATCATGGGTTAAAGCGTTGAGATCAAAATATAAATGTGGCAATAGACCATTGCCTTTGGTTTCAAAGAAAAGAACTTCTGAAACATGGAAAAACATAGTTAAGATTTGGGATAAATTCCTTGGAGGATTAGAACAACGGTGCATCTCAGGCAAGTTCTCAAAATTCTAGTGTGACATCTGGTCAACTATTAATGAGCTCTTAATCAAATTTGTTAAACATTGAAGCCCTCTTGTGGACTTCAATACTACAATTTCGCAATTCTACACACTTAGTGGTGATTGGAACAGTCCTAAAATGGCTAATTGGCTTTACTCCTCCATCATTAATCATAATACTAGCACTAGACCACCAAAGAGTTGAGAAGGAGTGTAAAATTTGTGCGAAAGCCAGTCGCTGATGGCTTTTTTAACATTAAATTTGCCTATGACTTTCTTTTTGCATATACATCTTTAGATAAAGATAACCTATGGACAAAAATATGGAAATGGAACATGCCTAAAAAAAATGAAGAGTTTTCTTCAGCTACTAGGGCGAGATAAATTACATACAACAGGCCTTAGAGAACAAAGGGGTATATCAAGCTCAAGTCGCTGCCCCCTTGGACATCATATGGATGAAACACCTATGTAAATTGTTGGTGATTGTAAAATTGCTTAAGAGGCATGGTGCCAGATTGTTCATCCAGATCATTGGAACAACTTTATGCAGTAACAAAGCTTAGAGTGGATAAGATGGAATTGAAGGGATGAACAAGGTTGTGCAATAGTTAGAAAGGTGCCTTGGGTAATCATTTTTACTTACTTATGTTAGGAATTATGGACTAAAAGATGTAAAAATCTGTTTGGGGAAAAGGAACCTATTTTGCAAGTAGACTCTAATCAATGCCTCTTCGAAATAGAGTCCGGAATAAGGGTCGAGTTTGGAGGCCCTGTTTAAATAAGGGTTCGAGTTTTGAAAATAATTTTTTTAAAGTAATTGAGCTTGAAAGCTTGATCCTGATAAGTCATGTAAAAAAGAGCTCGAGCCCAGGTGGCCCTTCAAACCCTATTATATTATTATTATTATTTTCTTTTGCAAAATACGTGTTTGAAGCTAATAACCTGCTCACTTAATCCTACACGCGTTATATGATTAGTAATTTTAATTTATTTTAAAATTAATTTAATATAATTTAATAAATATCAGTGTATAGTATAAAATTTATGATATTTTTTATTTTTTATAATTATTATGTTTGTGTATTTATAAAAAACAAACTATTTTTTAACAAATATTTAAATTTTATTATTAGACTTCTAAATGTGTGTTGTTTAATTTTTAAAAATTATGAAAATTTTAACTTTTTTAATTTTTAAAATATTTTAATTAATTTATAATGTTTAATTTTATTTTAATTTTTTTATTTTTAAAAAAAGGGCTTGCGAGCTCAATGCTGAGCCCTTCACACAAGGGTCAGGCATGAGAAATGAGACTCAAAATGGAGAATCGAGCTTTAAGACTCATGCTTTTAAGGATAAAGCCTGCCTATATTTCTAACTCTAATTCAAAGTAGTTGCTGACTTAAATATGTCCAAAAAATTTTATGTCCACAAAACCCCTTATGTTAATCTCCACAAATGACACCCTCTCGAAAAAGGATTTTATTAGATTAGATGTAGATGGCTTTATTAAGGATCATGGGATTGCCATGTGTAGCAATAACAATGGTAATTGGGTTCTTGGTTTTTGCTATAACTTGAGAAAACTTCCACCAACTACAGTAGAAGTTATAAGAATAGGCACAAGTCTAGAGCTTTGTTGGTCAAAAGGATTTTGAAAGATTGAAGTATACTCTGATTATGTGAAAGCTATCAATCTCATTACCAGAGGCTACAATCTAGAGCATCCTTTCTATGATATTATTCATAGTGTTCGTAATAAATCAATAGGGATTAGGTAGTGTTTATTAATTTTGTGTACAGGGATGTAGTTTCTAATGCTTATTCCTTAGCTAAGAAAACTCATTCCCTTGAGAGCCCCTTTTGCGTCCTTAATCACGCTCTACCTCGGTTACCTGAGGGAGGAGAATGATGAATGATTTGGTTCTCTTTTTAGGTTTTAGTACTGTTTCTTGGATATTATTCAGTTATTGAATGCATTTCAGCATTATTCAAAAATTACTCCTGAGATAGTTTAAATGAAGTAAAGTTTAATCCAGACCAAATATGAAAATACCTAGCTATCATTATAATAATAAAAATGCAAATAATGTCATCTCAATTACCGTCGCAGGGTCGTAAATCGCCTCGTAATTTATTTATTGTGCCGGCAACTTGTGCATCACCATTCCCCACCCCATGATCCATGTCAAATTGTCAACCATATTCTTGTTTAATCGCTCTCTATTTTTTTTTTTCTTTTTCCAACTAAGATATCAATCCCTAATTATCTTATTATTTCTTGCTTCTCCAAAGTGAAAGCATATTCACATGCATTGTTAGTTTGCAGGGGAGCGTGTGAGCCATTGATTCCATTAATGGAGAAACTTGCTGAACTGAAGAGCAAGTTGTTGAAGTTTCTGCCACGACAACCCGTAGCTTCAATTCAGAAACCGAATTTGAGTCCTAGCCGGAGCGTCGCCGGAAACCGAAGCCCATGCCACATCGTTTCCATATTCCCAAAAGAAGCTCGAAGAAAGCTCAGAAACTCGAGCTTCAGTGCACGAGAGCCGTCATCGCCAAAGGTCTCGTGCATGGGTGAGGTAGATCAGCTCATGAAGAAGAAGAAGAAGGGGAAGAAAAAGAAGACAAAGGCTCGTGATCATCAGAGTACTGGAAAAGCTGTAAAGAAGGAGAAGATGCTGCTTTGGATTTTCAAGGGAAGTGATGATCAGTGTGAGATCAGTCCAAGGAAAGGTGGGGAAGCTCTGGATTTGGAGGTTGCAGAGAAAGCGAAGGCACAGCGTCACGCGCAGAACGCTCCTTCGCTGGCCACGATGAAGAAATTTCCAAGTGGCAGGGGGACCTTGTCTGATTTTGACGTTAAACTCGCACAACTTTCAAGTGGGTGAGCTTAGTTAATCTCTTCTTGCATCCATCTTGTAATTAACGCTCATGAAAAACTGTATCTTAAGTCAACTGAATTGCTTGTTGATTCAATAACTTTTGGATTGTAGGATGCGAGGTTTAACTTTCTTAGTTAACATATAGAATACCATCCATAAATATATCTATCAATATCCAAAGACCAAAGTTCAGATTGCATTGTAATTAAAGAAATTATATAATTAATTTCGCTCTTGTTTTAATTTAACTTGTTTGAATTAAAGAGCATATTACATATAACCTGATTAAAATTCAAGCTCTCTTTGGAAAAACCAAATAAATTCAATCAAGCTCTCTCCCTCTAAAAACACATACACGGATGATATATGTTTTTTGGTTGATTTGAACTAACAAAAAAGAAAAAAAAGAACTAACATTAGGCTTGATTTCGGCTTTTGATCGCATTGTGGAGATTTAGAGGGCGGCGATTTTTCAACTCCAAAAGTCCAAACCCCTCAATTTTGCCACTTGAGAGTAAGATAAGTTGAGACGGAACAAATCTTGATTTGAATTCTTTCATCAAAAGATTTATTTTAGGAACCAAACCCTCGTCTATTAAATATAAGACCACAGAAAAAACTCGTGTAAGAGGATAATAAATCAAGCCATGTCAAAGTATACCATTTGATGAAATATAAAAAATCTCAACATGTAATGGGTGCAAAAAAAAGTTATACTTTGATGTCATCGAGTCTGTCACCCTCTTGCGTGTATTTTTTTGGGCCTTGTATTGAACACATTCATGTAAAAAAAGATTTAGTTTTAAATCATGGTCCAACAAAATTATGAAGTCTCAAAAAAATTATGCACGCTCGACCAAGAAAAAACATGGCCTCTTATTTTATTCATAAAGCAAATTCATTGGCACTACGACATTTTTTTTCTCTTAGGCAATAGTTTTGATTATTTTAACAATTTTAAAAGTATTACCTAATGTAAATATAAGTAACAGTTTTTTTTATCTTTTTGACAGTGAATGAAAATTGTTAACAAAAGTAGAATAAGCAACAGTTTTAAATTTTTGAAATAAAATTTTTAAATAAACAATATAAAAATTATTGTCTATAAAGGAACTTTCATTGCAACATTTTAAAATTATTTTCTATTATAATAGACAACAAAAAATAAGTAAATGTTATTTACAAATCTTCTTTTTAACAACATTTAAAAATTATTGCTTATAATTTTTCTATTAATAAAAAATTATTTTCATTTTTTGATAACTGATCTTTATTCTTTTATTTATTTTGTTATTTTATTAATTTTTATGCATTAATTATAAATATTTCTTATAGTTTTTCTATTAGTAAAAAATTATTTTCATTTTTTGATAACCGATCTATATTCTTTTATTTATTTTTTTATTTTATTAATTTTTTTGTATTAATTATAAAATTAAAAAAATGTATTTAACAATTATAGATATATAAAATATTTTGCATTATAACAACCAAAAGTCATTTAGAAGAGTGATTATATTCATGTAATCTCTTTAAGAGAATCAAGGTAGGAATTCTAAGTAAGGAAGCAAATATTAAATTTGAGTTATTTAATATTTTTGTAATAATTTTTAAGTATTGCCTATACTTATATGATAAGCAACATGCCCGTAAAATTGTTGCCTATTATTTTACTATAAGCAACAATTTTATGATTTGTGATTTAAAATATAAAAAAATTGTTGTTTTAAACTTTAGATAACAACCACCTAGACTACATTTAAAAACTATTGCATATACATATAGGCAACAACTTTTTATTCTATGGCAATAGTTTTTACTTATTGTCATAGACAAAAAATGTTACAATGAGAATATGGTGATATACAACGTCAGCTTTACATACATGCCAACATTTTTGTCATTTGGTTGGCTCATTTTTAGATTTGATTACGTTGCTGCGTGTTTTGGTCTGCATCAATTAAAATGTTGATAGATGATGGTAACATTTATGAGAAGCCATTACCAGGGAGAGAGGAGGATGAGGGTGGTTTTTTGTGACTAACGATAAGAAAGCCATTTCATAATTTTTTTGGTAATTTCTTGATAAAAAATATATTCATCTTGTGCAATGTATTAAAAACTGGACCGATCATTAAACCGACTGAGATCAAGGATCAAGGGTTCTATTGGGGTCAAACCGGCCATAATTAAGATAATATAATTTCAATAAAAAATAAAAAATTGTAGTTCAAAAATAAACAAATATTCATATAAATGTTTTGTAAACATAAAGTAATAACTGTAGGGAATAAAATAATTGTAACGTTAATATTTATAAAATACTCTCTCGATTCAAAAATATAAAGTGTTTTTAATCAAATTTCACTCATAATAAAGTAGTTACCTACTTTTAAAGTAACTCCATCTTTTTATATTTATTCTCATTAAAAATTTTATAATAAATATAAAGTCATTTATCAATAGAGATACTTAAAAAAAACAGTGATTAAATCTCAAAAGATTAAAAATACTTTACATTTTTTAACATTCAACTCCTCAAAAAATATTTTGTATTTTTAAATGGAGAGAGTATATCTTAATTTTTTTGGGAAATAAGTATTACTGCTTGGTCCTGTTAGTCTTGATTAATTTATGGTTTTAGAGAATTATCCTAACACAATACCAATATTAGTTGATTGTGGTTTTTAAAATAACTTCCGGGCTCTTGCAGTAAGGCTTCGATACAATCGACAAATAAAAAATAAAAAGGAAAAAAAAGTTGATTGATCTGAGGTAATATCATTCAAATAAATTTTTTTCAAGGCAACTAAGTCTCCAATCTACATCGCAGCTTTTTGAGAGACGTGACTTTCCCATCTTACTCTTCATATTTTGGAGGCATATCCTCTCCTCGTCCTTTCTCTCCTTTTCTTATCCCCATCCCCATCCCTATCCTTGACTTAAAAAAAGATAGCTCAAATTTAATTATTTTATAAAAAAATAATCATAATATTATATTAAAAAATAAATAAATAATTTTAAATTGTTAAAATTTAATTTGCATAGTTTATAACTGTAATACAATAAATAAGAAATTTAATTTATAAAAAATTTAATAATAGTATACAATTGTAAATTGTGTAGGTTAAATTTTAACAATTTAAATTTATTTTTATTTACATGATAATTATTTTATAAAATAAATAAATTTGCACCATCCATTTTTTTAATATAAGGCCATAGGAAAATTGTGCAAAAAAAAAAACTAATGTCTGGTTATGTCAAAAGCCATAAGGCTTATACATTGGGGGGTGGATTGTCAAAAATAAAAACACTAAAATCTTCATAAGAAGTCATGTGAGCTAGGAAATAAGTCGCAATTGTTAGCTTCCTTGTAGACATGATTAAAAGTAACCAACTAGTCTCTCATAATTAGGTCTTTAAAGCTTATGATAATCACCAAAAGGGGATACGGATTACAGTAGCTATTATTTATGAGCGGTAATGCTTCCATGGAATTAGAGCATATGTTAATTTTTGAAATATTCTCATTCCAGCAAAGGTTAAGACCTCCTAAGATTCCCAAAAGCTCAACTGCTATGCTAGGGTGGTAGTTAAGGTACTCGAAAAATTCTTTAATTTAATTTCCCTTCTCATCTCTAATGATGCCTCTATAGGCAGCAGCACCATTATGATTAATTGAGCCATCAACGTCGAATCTAAAACCATCCAAGTTCAAGAGGAATCTATTTAGCTTCATATCTATTATCATACTTGTTTAAATGTTTGATGTTAGACTAAAGTGTTAGGTAGTTCATTATCTGCTATGTGTAATAGAAGGCAATGTTACTTTCTAAAAAATCATTTTCTTGCATATGGCTTTTCACATATTCCAGCAAGCTTGAGCAAATAATGTCCTCTAAGGGATTCTTCTTGTGATCAAGCTACCTGCTTCGTTCTTAACATTCTAAATTATCCAATCTTACATGTTACAAGAGAAAAAGATATTAAATTTTATGGGATTTACTAATCTTTTTCAAACTTGTTGAGCTTTCTTACAATCACGTAAAATATGAATGAAAGAGTCAATAGAGTCATGACTCAAGGGACATGAGCGTATTTGAGTATTATTCTCATTGGTTTATGAGTACTTAGTTTGGAGATGATCCCAAAGCAGCTTTCTAAATGAAGTATTTAATTTTCTCATAGGTAGACCACTTTCAAATTTTGGACCATATGTCAGAATGGTTTTAATTTTTGTGAGTCTCGAAAGTTTTATAAGTAGATTTGATAGAGAAGTTTTGGTTAAAGGATGCTCTTCGAATAAGTACATCTTCATCACCCTATTGATTTGAAGGTTGAACAAGTGCAATCTATTTGAGCACTTTAGGATGAAGGAAGCAATTTAAAAAACCAACGTTATTGTAGACATCTGTGACATGAGCATGGAGAATAAAGTTAGCATTATAGTAGGCATATATGATAAAAGGGTCAGGGAAGGAGGACCATTTATCACACTAGAATGATATTTGATCTCTTTTACCTATTTTTCAACCAACCTAAGACATAAACTTATCTCAAACTTTACATATGCTACTTCAGGTAAAAGAACAAGAGTTAGGCTTGATCACTATTAGGATAATGGGCTTATTACATTTATATTTATTGTGTAAAACCTACACGCAGAGGCAGTTAGGTTTAGTGATGAGGCCCCGGTAAAGTTTCAAGATGAAGTCAATATTCTGGCTTTTAAGATTCTTGATTGTAAGACCACCATCCTTTTTATCCAAAGTAATGTGGTTCCAAGGGAGAAGATAAGGTTTTTATATTCATCAGAAGAATTTCACAGAAAATCTCTAGATATTTTTTCCAATTCAGCTAAAACACTATCAATTAAGATCATAGTTTGCATGGTACAGCTAGGCAGAGCAAAAAGGATGGATTTGATAAGCATAGATTTTCTAGCAATGTTGAGATGATGGCTTCTCCAGTTAGCTAAATGTGAAGTCATCTTATCAATAAGG